AAGTTTTTGTGTGGACATATTTTCATATCTCTTATGTGTATCCCTCAGAATGGAATTGCTGACTCATATCAACTCTGCCATACATGCGCATACACTAGGGATTAAACCCAGGAGTGCTCTACCACTGAGCTACATCCCCAGCCCTTTTATTTTATTTTGACACAGGATCTTGCTAAGTTGCCCAGGCTGGCCTTGAACTTGTGATCCTCCTGCTTCAGCTTCTCTGAGTTGCTGGGAATATAGACCTGCTATGTCTACTATTTAAAGTAACTGCTAGACTGTTTTCCAAAATGGCTGAACCATCTTACAAATCACATGTAAAATTAAATTTTTTCTAGTAGCCACATTAAAAAAAGTAAAAGCAACTTTTTAAAATTTCAAATTTTAAGCTAATATATCTTTTAATGTTTAACCCGTAGATGTGAGGTGTCCCTCAAAAGCTCATGTGTGAGAAAATGAGAGAATTTTCAGAGATGAGAAGATTATGAGAACTTTAACCTAATCAGTGGATTAATCCACTGAAATGGATTAACTGAGCATTAACTCTAGACAGACAGGGTGTGACTAGGGGAGGTAGGTCACTGGGAGGTATATGCCTTTGGGTTTATATTTTGTCCCTGGTGAGCAGAGCTTTTTCTCTGCTTCCTGGCTCTAATGTTCTGAGATACTTTCCTCCCCTACCCTTCCACCATGATGTTCTGTCACCTTGAGCCCAGATCTATGGAGTTGGCTGATGAACCAAAAAAAGCTTTTCCTTCTCTGTATTGTTCTTTTTTTTTTTTAATATTTTATTTTTTAGTTTTCGGTGGAAACAACATCTTTGTATGTGGTGCTGAGGATCGAACCCGGGCCGCACGCATGCCAGGCGAGCCCGCTACTACTTGAGCCACATCCCCAGCCCCTCTGTATTGTTCTCATCAGGTCTTTAGGTAGCAACGATGTAAAAAGCTAATTAAAACATTATCAAAGCATATATCCAGTGCTATCAATGTTATTCATTATGCAATGAATATTAAGCATTGTTAGTGCTGGGTGCAGTGGTGCACACCTGTATTTTCAGCTACTAGGGAAGCTGAGCAGGAGGATCTGAAGTCCCAGGCCAGCCTGGGCAACTTAGCAAGACTCTGATCACAATAAAAAGAGCTGGGGATGTAGCTCCGTGGTAGAGTGCGCCTGGGTTTGATCCCCAGTATCTTAAAATAAGATTAGGACTGGACTCTGAACTACGTGGGGCAGGGTTTGGGGCCAGCTCTGAACCTTGCATGCTACATCAGTGGGTGAATGGATGCGGTTTTCCCCACAGCTGCTGGCGGGCATCTCAGCCACTCCCAGGACTCTCAGCCAGAGTCCCACCCTTTCCCGGAGCTGACAGCCCCACTTCAGAGCCTGGACCTTGAGGAGTGGCAGGTAGCAGGGAAGGGATGACAGAAACTGGCTGCTGCTGCACCTCTGGGGATGCCCCGACCTTCTGGGGGAGGGGACTGGAGAAGGCTCTGGGGCTGTTTGGGGGGTAGGAGTGGGCAAGTGTTTCACCCCATCTGTGGTTGCAGGGAAAGCAGGACAGTCGGGATGTGGTGTGTGGCATCTGTATGGATAAAGTGTGGGACAAGCCGGAAGCTGAGCGGGTGTTTGGCATCCTGCCCAACTGTACCCATGCTCACTGCCTGGGCTGCCTCCGTACCTGGCGGAAGAACCATCAGAACCTTCCGCTGAATGTCATCAAGTCAGTGTCATGCAGGTGCCAGCAGGGAGGGAGGGAATTGCCCACAGAGACATGGACCAGGAGGCCAGCCTGTGGGCTTGTGACTGCCCCCCCCCATTCAACCCCCACTTATCTCATGCAGGGCCTGTCCCCAGTGCCGAGTTCATTCCAGCTACATGATTCCCCACAAGTTCTGGGTGGGCGAGGGGCCCAAGAAGGAGCAGCTCATCAGGAATTTCAAGGCTTGGACCAGGTGAGGCTGGCGGAGTGGGGAGGAGGGAGGTGGCTCTCGGCCTGGGATCCTCAAACACTGGAAGCTCAGAAGTGGCCCAAAAGGCTGTGACCAGTTTTTATAATTTTAGCAAGTCTGTTTAATAACAGGGTCTGAGATGGCAGCAGGGTTAATTTTCTATCTCTTTCTATTTATCTATTTATCTATTTATTTATTTAGAGGTACTGGGGGTTGAACCCAAGGGTATTCTACCACTAAGCTACATCCCCAGTCCTTTTTTTTTTTGGTTAGCATCTTGCTAAGTTGCAGGCCTTGAACTTGTGCTCCTCCTGTCTCAAGCTTCCTGAGTAGCTGGGATTACAGATGTGTGCCACGATGCCTAGCTATTTTCAATGTGTTTTTGTAAGACAGGAAAATACATTGATATGAATGTATGTTGTTTGCTTTGATGATCTTTGAAAATATGGGGTCGCTGACAAGGGTACTGAAGGGCAGCCCTTGAAAATGAAAATTAGATACCCTTTAAGATACTTCACTGCCACCTGCTGGAAGAGAGTGGAAGAAGTGTAAAATCTACACTGGTACGGTACTGGCTTAGATGGGATGCTAGGTAAAACCTGCCCAACCTTGTGTCAGCCTAGAGAGCTCCTTATTCCTGAAACAACAGAGCTTGGAGATGATAGTCTTTATCTACCTCTACTTTGTCACAGCCAGATCCCCTGCCGGTTCTTCATGAGGGGGAGAGGCCGCTGCCCCTTCAAATCTGACTGCATCTACCTGCACCAGCTTCCAGCTAAGACCCCGGTCTCTGGTCCTCCTTGGCCTGACAGTGTTCAACTGGTCTCTGGGAGTAAGGTGATAACAGTAGGGACATGGGATCAGGGAGGCTCCTGGTCATGGTGTATAATTAATGTCCATGGTAACTGTAAACCTCTGTATGATGTCTGTGGTGTGGATGGTGCCTGTGCTTACACCATTGTGCTGTGTCCAACCTGCCCAGCTCATATGTGAGCCTTGAGCTCCCTGGTGTGGATGGTGCCTGTGCTTACACTACTGTGCTGTGTCCAACCTGCCCAGCTCACACGTGAGCCTTGAGCTTCCTGTTTCCAGGACAATCACAGTTGAAGCTGATGGGTTTTCAATAATTTTTCTCTCTAGTTCCAGGTACTGGGCCCAGCACTGTTCTTAAGGGGCCACCAAGCCAGAAGAAGATATGTTCTTCACAGACTGTGCCCTGGCTCTGGCTCTCTGAGGTTCAGAACTCCTGCTAGGTCTCAACAGTTCTCTATGGCTTGCTACACCAGGATCGGCTGGAGGAGATGGGACGAGGGGAAGGGCTGGTGGTTCTTTCCCCTGTGGGGTTTAGTGGTAGGCAAAAGTAGCTAACCCTTTACCCCTGTAAACTACAGCAGTGACACAACTGAGGGACACAGGAATGGAGGATGGCTTCTGGAGTGAGAACGGATTCTTACCTGCTTGCCAGTGTCTTGGCTTTTAACTTTGCTCTTTTGTAGGATTTTAGAAGAAAACTAATAAAATGCACCTAAACTGTCACTGTGCATCTGAAGAATGATCTGCTTATAGCCCAGCCCCACCCCCAAGGGGAGTAGGGTTGCTCTTTCATTCAATCTTTTATACTTTCACCTGTCACTTAGCTTCTGGAAGTCTCTGCTGTACACACATAAGAGGAGACAAATGAGAAAGGCAAATAACATCATGAAAACTTTTATGACCTTACAAAGTCTTTGAAAAGATCTTGGGATCTCCCAGGGCCCTTGAACTGTTTAGAATTTAACCCCATTTTCCTTTCAGTTGGCTAGATGCAGATCTTGGTGCGGTAGCTGTAGAGTAGGGAGTGAGATTATAGTTGAGGCTGGCAGGGATTCCTGGTTCTTCATGGCCTGACCCACATCTTGATTACTCACCCTGATTCCCTTCTGTGCTGTCCCCCACCCCTCTAGTACTGGGGATTGAACCTGTGGTGTTCTACCAGTGAGCTACACCTCCAGTTCTTTTATTTTTTATTTTGAGATGGTCTTTCTAAATTATTGTGGCTGGCTTTGAACTTGCCATCTCCTCCTGTCTCAGCCTCCCAGAGTCGCGGGGATTATAGGTGCACACCACTGTATCTGGCTTCTTGAAAGTTCTATATCACAAACATTCTATTGCTTACTTATTTAGCTTTCTCTCTTCACTTGTATGTCAGTGATGAAGGCAATGACCTGTGTTTGGTCCCCTGTATTCCCAGTTCCTAGGTGCTCAGTAAACACTTTTTTTTTTTTTTTTAGTATTTTGTTTTAGTTGGACACAATACCTTTATTTTTATGTGGTGCTGAGGATGGAACCCAGCGCCTGGCATGTGCTAGGCGAGCGCTCTGTTGAGCCACAACCCCAGCCCCTAGTAAACACTTACTGAATGAATGGATCTGTGTGGCACCAGAGCTGGGAGGACGGACAGTACAAGTTGGCTCCCAAAGTGGAGATTTATGGGGCGCTGAGGGCTGGCTCTTCCTACTCCTAGAGGAGTTCAGTGATCTCTTGCATCCTCTAAGTGGAAGGTGGCGCCACTCCTGGCACCTATAGACAATCAAGGCAAGACTGCTACTTGGTCTTTGAAAGATTCACAAAATAATTGTAGATGACTGAAACACCAAACGGGGCAGCATTTGACTTGGTTGAAATTAAATGGCAGGGTAAATACCATAAATTTCCCTTTTTCTTTTTGCGGTATTGGGGAGTCCGCCCCAGGTGCTAGCATAGCCAGGTAAGCACTCTACCACTGATCTACAGCCCCAGCCTCTGGGCCTCTATTCTGCCCCACCGCTTCTGCGGGTGACTGAAGAAGATGAGCTTAGGATCAGTCCCGAGGATCCGCCCCTCCACTAAGCCCCGCCCCATTAAGATCCCGCTCTGACGCGCTCCGCCCACAAGCCAACCGCCCGTTCTGGCCCAGCCCCGCCCGCGGACACGCCCCGTCATTGGCGCCACACCTACTCTCCGGCCTGGCAATCTGTGGACCCGCCTCTTCCTGTCCGCACTCGCGCCCCGCCTCCCACCCTGGCCCCGCCTCGTCTCCCTGCTCCTCAGCGCGGGAACCGCTCGAGTTTGAGACGGTGTCTGTGTAGTGTCCCGCGCTGGAGGAGGCGCTGTCACGTCTGGGCCAGCCTCGAAGCTGAGGCCTTAATTAGAGCGAGGGGAGTAGGGTGGCGCGGCACCTGCGCCGGGGATGGAGACCCCTGGGACTGGGGATGAAGGATCCGCACCTTGGGCGTCCTTGGAAGCACCCGCCCGCCTTCTGCTGCAGGCATTGCAGGCTGGGCCGGAGGGGGCGCGGCGCGGCCTCGGGGTGCTGCGGACGCTGGGTCGCCGCGGTGGGGAGCCCTTCGACTGGGGCCGCTTCCTGGAGGCTCTGTGCCAAGAGGAGCCAGTCCTTTGGGGACCCGACGCCCGCCTGGAGCTGTAAGTCCGCGGCTTACTGCCCCGCTGCAGTCACCAGAGGCCCGACGGTCGCTTCCTCTCTGTTACTGCGGAGGGGACTGAGCACAGAGGTTAAATCACTGCCCACCGCGAGGGCGCGCTACCGCGCAGCCTGGGAGGAGTGACACCCCTCACTGGGCACCTACTGTGTGCCGGGCAGTGCTGGACACTGGATACTAAGACACCCCTTCTGTTGGGCGTATATAAATGAGTATAAGTAGAGCTAAATAGATTTTGATTGTATACTTTCATTTCTAAGAAAAATAGAATGTATACCTTCACTATAGATAAACTTACGTATGAAGTGCACACGATTGTTAACCTATGTACCTTATAAAATAAACCGAAATAGAGGTTTTTTTTTTTTTAATGTATTCTACTGGGGATTGAATTCACCAGCGTTTAGCCCCTGAGCTACATCCTCAGTTCTTTTTTCTTTCTTTTTTTATTTGTTTATGTTGTTTGAGACAGGGTCTCATTAAGTTGCCAAGGCAGGCCTCGAACTTGTGATCCTACTGCCTCAGCCTCCGAGTAGCTGGGATTACAGGCAGAAATAGTTATTTAAAACAGATGTGATAAGTGATGGAATAAACATCTGCTAATTTTGGTGGCTTTCTACTTGTTTTTTTTTTTCAAAGTGATATACACTTTCAGGCAAGAAAGAACATTTTCCTTGAGAATAGTAACTACAAATCTGTATTTTGGTGTTCTTGATAATTTCCAGTTTTTTGAATGATTTTGGACTTTTTCATAACCTCTTTTCATGGCTGACAAGGAATTCCTACTATGAGTTTCTAGTGTTGCATGGCCGTTTTCTTATTTGATTGTGCTTCCTTTACTGGCCTCATCCTTGGTCTTTAGTTTCTTTGCAGGCATCCTATCCTTTTAAGCCACCTGTCCATTGTGTGAAGATTCATGTTTTAAAAAAAAAAAATACAGATCTTAACTGCATTTAAGTAGCATAGTTAACTCAAACACACAAAAATGCAGAGTGAGGTGCCAACCCATCTTCAGCTCCAGTGGTACAGGTCTTCCTCCTTTCTTGGGCCAGGTTCCCCAAAGTTGGCCTGGAAACTGGTATATGGAGAGCAAACTATATGTTAAATTTTTGTACTGTGTAATTTTTTGTGTTTTAGATAAGTAGGTAGGAGTTCTAATATAGCCTTCCCATACTTTTTTGAACTTTTTTTTTCTTTTGTAATACTAGAGATTGGACCCAATGGTGCTCTACCTCTGAGCTACATCCCTAACCCTTCTTGGTTTTTATTTTTTAAAATTTGAAACAAGGTCTTATTTAGTTGCCGAGTCTGGCCTAGGACTTGGAATCCTCCTGCCTCTGCCTCTGCAGTTGTTGGGATTACAGATGTGCTTAATTTCATGGAAGAGATGGGTCAGGATAACTTGTCTGAATCCCTAAATTGAAAAGTATAGTAATGTTTGTCCAGTTCTCTGCCTTTTTAATGGATACAGTAAGGGAGGGCAAGAGGCTTAACCTAGGGCCCATGGATAGAACTATATTTCAGTACACTTAATTTCCTTTGTAATCCTAGGTATTTTGTTTAATGTATTTAACCCTCATTCAGAGAAGGGGCTCATGGCACTAAACAAGACCCTTGGAGTAGGGTCTTCCATATCTCTCTCTCTTCTGTAGTTCTCTCTTTCCCTTTTTTTTTGGCACCAGGGATTCAACCTGGGGGCTCTTCACCACTGACCCATATCTCCAGCCCTTTTTATTTTTTGATGCAGGGTCTTGCTAAGTTGCTGAGGGTATTGCTAAGTTGATGAAGGTGGCCTTGAACTTGTGATCCTCCTGCCTCAGCTTCTCAAGCTGCTGGGATTACAGGCATGTGCCATTATGCCCTGCCACATTGCATCTTCCACAAAGAAGTGAAAGTTTGCTTTTTTTCCTCTCATGCCAAGAACCTCTGTGTGATATGACATAAAGCCCTGCAAAGTCGCACAGAGGGAGCAGCTCAGGCATGATAAGGGGGTAGGCTAGATACAGCCATGACTTGTTTGCCATATCAAGCCTCAAGTCACACAGGGTCTGGATTTGTGCCTCTGCAAAATTACAGACCACCACATTGCATTATGGGCCTTTAGGGCATGGGAGGATAGTGTTTAAATCAGAGAACGCTGGGTGCTTACAGGAAGGAGTTTTCCTTCTGCCCTTACCCCAGGGTTCCAAAAGAAAAGACTCCCACCCTGCTCTCCCCCATTGCTTCTGTGAATACTGTTTGGAAACTAAAGTTGTAATGAAGATTATTATCTGATGATTCCTTCTGTTTGAAGTCTTGCCTCCTCTGTGAAGCCTTCTCTGTTCGAAGCAGCCCTTGCCTATCTCTGTACCCTTATTCTCAGAAAGTTAATTCATTCAATAAATGTTCACCTAGGCGATACTAGTACCCAGAGGAAGGAGACTCTGCCTTTGGTTTTCAGTAATTCACAGTTTTGTGACAGGAACAAGGGAGATAGTGGGATAAGTAACCCTGACAGTTCCAGGGGATTGCCAGGTGGGGCTTCAGGACAGCTTACACAGCATCCTGGAGTGTTGTTTAGTAGTATTGTTTTGACCTAAAATATGGAAATAGACTTTTTTCTTTGTTATACAAAACAAGCCTGGGGCTGGGTATGTGGCTCAGTGGTAGAGCACTTGCCTGGCATGCATGAGGCCCTGGGTTCCATCCCCAGCACTGCACAACAACAGCAGCAACAAGAAGAAGCATGAATCTTTTTTTGTTGTTGTTTTAGTTGTCAATGGACCTTTATTTTACTTATTTATATGCGGTGCTGAGAATCAAACCCAGTACCTCACACATGCTAGGCAAGGACTCTACTACTGAGCTACAACCCCAGCCCAGAAGCATAATCTTACAGAATAAGTTCCAACGTTAATTTCTTAGTTGAAATAGGAGATATCCAAGAGGTTAAGAGCAGGGCCTGGTGTATAGTAGATGCTCAGTGAACACTTGCCAATGACTCATGCTGTCCTCTCTCCATCCACACCAACTCTTGCAGGTGCTGATGTCTGTCTCCCATCTGTCCTCTGCCATTGTGCCCCCAGCCTGCCCTAATCTGCCCTGAGCTTCCTCCAGCAAGACACTCTGACTGCTTGCTCTCCCTCTGCTACCCAGGAAACCACTGTTGCTGCGATTGCCCACATTATGCCGGAGGAATCTGATGTCCCTGCTGATGGCTGTTCGGCCGTCACTGCCTGAAAGCAGGCTCCTGTCTCTGCTGCGGATTGCCCAACAGGACTCAGTCTCTGCTCCTGATGCCTGGCTCCAATCCCTGGGAACACTGCTACAAAGGGATCTGGGGATTGGAGTGTCTCTTGAGGGAGCCTCTCCATTGTCCGAAGGGTGCCAGAGACAGCTCCAAGGCCTGTGTAGGCAGCTGGGCCAGGAGGGCAGGAGGTTGAAATTGCCCCAGGCTGCAGACCCTGAAGGGAAAGAGGAGGAGGAGGAGGACAGGAACTCACAGCATCGTGGGAAACGCAGAAAGGAGCCAGAGGAAGAGCCTGCCAGTCCTGAGGGGGAGAGGGCCCCCAAAAGGTCCCGGGATTGGGAGGGGGAAGAAGATCACAAGGATGAGAGTCTTGAACACCAGTCATTGGAATCCCTGGGTGATGGAGGAACCACATCACCTACTAAGAACCAGCTGGATGTGGGAGCTGAGACCAGTGAGGCTGGCCTGAGTCTGGAGGAAGCCAAGGGTCTTGCTACAAGCATGAAGTTGCCCAAAGCTGTCCAGGTACTGTGGTGGGGAGGCAGGGTTTATCCATGCTGGTTGGGACGCTGTTTCACAACTGGGATCCATGGAGCAGGGGGATGGAGGCCTACGAGGAGGGAGTCCCCCCTGCCCAGCCTTATGGAGAGGGTTAAGGAGGGAGTTACTAGCGGTGGGAAACACTTCTAACCATCTGTAACATGGAGTTGTAAAAGGGTGCCAGGCAAGGCAAGAGACTCTGGGGCCACCCTGTCACCCGTCCTAGGGGTTAAGGGGAATCATATCTGCCCTATCAGCCAGGGCCGGGTTTACTTCATTAGTGTTGGATGGAGAGAAAATAAGTCTGGACAACTGGATTTTACATGGACCTTATCTGGTTTGGATTCTTAGGAACTTTGCAAGATAGAGGCTTCATGTTCTTAGCTCTCTTGACTCATCTTTGTCCACTAGCTCCCACTTAACAGGCTCCCCCGCCCCATGCCAGTACCAGTGATTGACCCCAGGGCTGCTTTACCACTGAGTTACATTCCCAGTCCTTTTTTATTTTTCGTTTTTTTGAGAACAGGGTCTTGCTAAGTTACTGAGGGTCTCACTGAATTGCTCAGGCTGACCTCAGACTTGCAATCCTGCCTCAGCCTCTTGAGTTGCTGGGATTATGGGCATACACTATGGTGCCCTGCTGACCAGGGGCAGGGAGCTGGGACTGGGTAGTGACTGAACTCTCCTCTGCAGGACCAGGTGCCCAGGCTGCAGCAGCTGCTGAAGACCTTCAGGGAGGTGATTGACCCTACCCTACTCACTGTAGCCCTTCTTCCACCTCTGCCCAGACCTCAGCCATGCCCCAGGAAGCCCCAGCACACTGAGGATCAGGCTGGTGGGGGGTGGGGTTGGAGGGAAGGTCTGAGGACGGTCACTGCTGAGGCTTATCTTGGCCCGAGAATAGACAGGCCATCACCAATTGAAGGGGTGGCCTCAGTGAATTGTCATCAAGGGCTCTGCCAGCCCTAACGGGATTTACCTCCCCAGGGAATGGATCGGTTAGAGGCTGCCCCACCAAGTGAGCTGCAACTTTTCCATGAGTGTAGTTCCAGCCAGGTGAGGCCAGAAAGACTGTTTGTCTCTGAGTTTATGGCCACTCCCCCCACCTTTTTCCACTTTAACTTTTGTTTCCTTACCTCCTAAGGGAATCTTGCCCTCTCTATCTCTCGGGTAGGTCACCCTGAGTGCTTTTCTGAGCCCTCAATTCCTTCCTATAGGCCAGTTCGCCCACCCTTAATTTGTCCTGGAGCTTCCTTGCTCTGCCCCTTTGATTGCCCACTTGGCTTGTGACAGCCTAGCAGAGTTAGACTAAGCATCCCCATGTGTCCCCTTGTTCTTGGGCAGATGGAGCTGCTGTGTGTCCAGCTGCAGCTCCCCCAGCTCTCAGCAGCAGGCCTCCTGCAGCTCTGCACCTGGCTGCTGGCCCTGTCCCCAGACCTCAGTCTCAGCAGTGCCACTGTGCTGACCAGGAGCCTCTTTCTTGAACGGGTAGGTTCACTGGTAGCCCCCAGGACAATGGGGAGAATGTCTGAGCCCTGGAAGAGAATTGCATGGGAGAGGGTGTTCCTGGCCATGCAGGCGCCTGGTCTTGCTGGGCAGCTTGGGGCCCTGCTCAACAGGCTGGGCGTGGGTCTCCTGGCATCTAACTTCCTTCTAGGGCCTCAGAATTCTTTCAGAAGCTGATTGAGGGGATTTTGGAGTTGGAGAGGGAAGCTATGTGTCGTTCCACTGAATAGGTCCCCTGAGCCCTAGATAAAAGATCTTGTAATTTTTCCCTGTACAACATGTATCACTATCTGAAATATATCTCAGATAAACATTTATTGAAGGAAGAGAAATGAGTTACTGTCTCCTCCCTGTTGGCTGCAGATCCTCTCCCTGACTTCTTCTGCTTCCCGGCTGCTCAGGACGGCCCTGACTTCATTCTGTGCCAAGTACACCTACCCCGTCTGCAGCGCCCTCCTTGTCCCCCTTCTCCAGGCCCCAGGCATAGGTAATTCTAGAACGAGCCCCAGACCTGGTACCTCTGCCCTCTGTGCCCAGCACCCTTTGCTGGTAGGAGTTGAGTGTTCAGTGGGTGAAAACACCTGTTGCTTCCCTGGCGGTGACAGGCATCCTGTTCCCCCCAGGCCCACCTCCTCCCCTTTGCTCTCCCTGGCCCAGGTCCAGCTCAAACAGAGTTACTGTGTGGCCTAATGAAGGACGAGTCCCTGGAGCCGGACACACAGGGCCTAATGCTGGGGTAAGTGTGCAGGACTCCATGTTGCCCCCACTCCCATCTTTCCCCCAGGCCAGGCCTGTTCCAGGTGGCAGCCGGCTGGGCACCAGACCCTGGGCCTCAAAGACAGGATGTGGTGTAGCTGGTGCCCCTGTCACTCCAGCTTGAACCTGCCTCATGCCTTCCACCAATGGGCCTGTGCACACTGCCATTCCATTCACTTTCCCATGCACTTCCCGAGCCCAGGGTTGCTGTTCTTCTCCCCACAGTGGCCTCTGTGGGGTGTGGGGCTAGCTCCATGCCAAGTGCCCTGGGAATGCAGATAAGAGGCAGGTCCCTGCTCTGGAGTGCTTCATGGCCTAGCTGGAACGTGGCGCAGTGGTTAAGAGCATGGCTCTGCAGTCAGACATGGCTTCAAATCTTAACCTCTCTTTTTATTTAGATACATGAACTCAAACTCCACCTCTGTGATCCTTCGTTTCCTCATATATGAAAAATGGGGGTGATATTCATTTCATAGGACTTTTCTAGATATCAAATGTGATGATGAATGTAATGAATTCAGCACAGTATTTGGCATCTTTTTTTTTAAATTTTTTTTTTTAAGAGAGAGAGAGAATGAATTTTTTAATATTTATTTTTTAGTTTTCGGCAGACACAACATCCTTGTTTGTATGCGGTGCTGAGGATCGAACCCAGGCCGCACGCATGCTAGGCAAGCGTGCTACCGCTTGAGCCACAACCCCAGCCCCAATATTTGGCATCTAATAAGTGCTCAAAATTGATATTAAAATAGTGTTAAATTGGGGTATTAAAATTGATACAGACATGAAATAATGAATAAGACGGACCTCATTGGACACAGATGTGAAATACAAAATGCTAATTAGGAGAGTTCTGCCTCAAAAATAATAGCAGCTGCCACTCACTGGGCATTTTCTCTGTGCTTTAGAGTCTCATATACTTCATTCAGTCCTGTGAGGCAGGAGTGCTGCCACCTGAGAGCTGGAAAAAGTGCTTAGAGAGGTTAAGGCATTTGGCCAAAAGGTCACCCAGCCAACAAGTGGGATGAACCAAGCCTGCCCACTCAGGAAGCCACAAGTCTCCACTGTGACGTGCTGCATTTTGAAATGAGGGGAGGACTGTGCAGTGGAACAGGAAGCGCAGCTGGAGTGGCCATGGCGTGGGTGGAGCTTTGCAGGGAAGGCCACCTGCTCCAGGAGGCCTATTGTGTCATCCCACAGTGTCGCCTTCCTCCTCTCTGAGTTTCCTTCACCTTTGGTTCTCAAGATGCACTCTTGACTCCTGGTTATTTTTTAGTAGGAAACTATATTAATCAGATTTTTGTTGCTGTGGCCAAAATACCCAACAAGTCCAACTTGGAGGAGGAAAAGTTTTTTTTGGCTCATGGTTTCAGAGGTTTACTCCATGCTCAGCCGACTTCCTTGCTCAGTGCCCAAGGTGAAGCAGAGCATCATGATGGAGAAGAGCTGCTCAGCTTATGGCTACTGGGAAGCAGAGAGTGAGAGAGATGGAGGTGCTACAGACGAATAACCCCAAAGGCTCACCCCACCTGCCTATCGTTACTACCCATTTCATCCATTCAAATTAGGATGGATTGATTAGGTCACAACCACAACTCTGGTAATCCAATCATGTACCTCCTACATTAACCGGAGCTTTGGGCACCTCAGATGCAAACCGTAACACCTTTCACCATCACACTACCGTATCCTTCACCGTCAGCTCCTGGGGATCTTGGGTTGTGACATTGGGTTGTATTGGCTCTGCAGCAGCAGCTGCTGGGGCTACTGCCCACGTCACAGGGCTCTGACTACTCTGTTGGCAGGGATCTTGGCTGGCCCCAGAACCTTGCCCTGCCAAAATAACAAGAGCAGTAAAAACTCAGGTTTGATGAGCAGTTGGGCCTTTCTCACCAGGGCCACTTCTCCGCAGGCAGATCTTAGAGCTGTCCTGGAGGGAGGAGACTTTCCTGGTGTTGCAGTCACTCTTGGAGCGGCAGGTGAGCAGACCACCTTGGAGGCAAGAGGGCAGAGAAATGCTGCAGTGCTATAGGGGACAGAGGGATCCTGGGTTTCTGGGTCTTTTCAGTGGTGAGAGGCAAGCAGGACAATCACCCTACAGCATGGTGCCCCATGACAGGAGGAGAGCCCTGCAGCTCGCAAGGTTGGGAACAGAGCTGACCATGTGGTCCATCTAGCTCTACCTCTAATAAGCTTGGGGCTCTAGGACAGGATTTTTTTGTAATATATATATATTTTTTTAATATATTTTTTTAATTTATTTTTATATGGTGCTGAGGATCGAACCCAGCACCTTGCACGTGCCAGGTGAGAACTCTACATCTGAGCCACAACCCCAGCCCCAGGATTTTTTGATATGTATGTGTAAACTTAAGTTTTGAATAGGTAATAGATTCTAATGTTCATAAATTTTCTTTATTTCTTTCTTATTTCTGGTACTGGTGATTTAACTTAGGAGCACTTAACCACTGAGCCAAATCCCCAGCCTTTTTTATTTTTTGAGGCAGGGTCTCATTAAGTTGCCAAAGGCCTCACTAAGTTGCTGAGGTTGGCTTCGAACTTGCAATCCTCCTGCCTCAAGCTCCTAAGTCACTGTTATTACAGGCATATGCCACTGTGCCTGGAAAGCTGACATTTCTTTATGCTTCAGTTTCCTCTTTTAAAAAGGAGAGTTATTTATTTATTTATTTGGTGCTGAGGATCGAACCCAGAGCCTCACATGCCCTAGGTGAGCCACAACCCCAGACCCAAGAAAGGAGAGTTATGAGACTGGGATAAAGTTTCAATGGGGTAATTGGTATAAAGTGCTCAGAACTGTGCCTGATGCATAGTATTGATTAAATTTTTATGAAGCGCTGCAGTGTCCCTTGGGATCTTTCACTCCTTTATATCTTCAGCCACAAGGCAGACTGTGTATCCTTGATTTCACCTTGGTGCTTTGCAACAATGGCTACCATTTTCTGAGACCTGTCTCAGATCCTGTGTGCATTATTTCATTTATCTTTCTCACAATTGTCAAGAGTTAGATATTTTGAGCCCCATGCTACAGATGTGGAAACTGAAGCTTAGTTCTCCATCACTGTGACAAAATGTCTGAGATAAACAGCTTACAAGGAGGAAAGGTTTATTTTGGCTCATGGTTTCTGAAGCTTTAGTCCATAGTTGGCCCAGTTGCTTTTGAGTATGTAGTGAGGCAATAGATCTTGGCTGCAGGAGCATGTGGCAGAGGAGGTTGCTCACCTCACGGTGACCAGGAAACAGACAGAGAGGAGGGGCAGGGGTCCCAGTGTTCCTTTCCATGGCCCACCACAAGTGACGGAGCTTCCTTCTGCTAGGATCCACCTCCTAAAAGCTCCACCACCTTCCAGTAGTGCCACCCTGGGGACCAAGCCTTCAGCACGTGGGCCTTTAAGGGACATTCCAGACCCAAACTATAGCATTTGGTTAAGCTACTTGCCCAGGGTCACCTCGTGAGGAAATAGTGGAGTTAGGAATTGAGTCCAGGAGAAGCTGAGTGAAGAGCGCAGGCCTTTCTTGTGATTTGCTCCATCTCTCAATGTGTGCAGGTAGAGATGACCCCAGAGAAGTTCAGTGTCTTGATGGAGAAGCTCTGTAAAGAGGGGCTGACAGCCACCACCTCCCTGGCCTATGCCAAGCTCGTGCTGACGGTGATGACCAAGTACCAGGCTCATGTGAGTGTTGATAGGGCCACCGGAGCTGGTCCTACTGGCCAGGCTGCTCTGGGTCTGCCATGAGGGTATTCAGATTTCGAAGGAATAAAACACTTGCCAGGGAAACACAAGTTCAAGTCCAGAACTGAGAAATGGGACTGCTTAGGGTTTATTCATCCAGCTAACACCTCTTTGAGCCAGATATTACAGTTAACTATTTATCATGTCTTTCCTGTTCACTAGCCTGAGATTGGAGGACAAGGTCAGCTCAAGGGGAGGGACTGCATTGTGGTTACTATGATTTATCAACACAAGTGGCAAATCTAGCTACAGGCACATGCCATGGTGTCTGAGCTCCATTTTATAGATGAGGAAATGGAGACTCAAGTCATTTACACAAGGTCACATTGCCAGGACTGGCAGCATTTTATAGGGGGCGCAGTAAGTCAGGGACTGGGCTTTAATTCTTGGCTGTTGGCATTTTACCTTTTTCTTGGAGATCACAGACCTATTTGTTAATTTCATGAAATTTACTATAGATCCTCCCAGAAAAGTGAAAATACGAGCATGACTCTGCTGCATAATTTCAGGGGGCTTCCAGACCCTCTATAGCTCACGGAAGAGGAATGCCCCATGTGGGGCTTCAGGAGTGTTCTAAGGGCCTTTAGCTGGAGAGTTACTTGGTCACATTTGCATTATAAAGAAGCCCCTGGTTTCCTTGAGGAGTGGGGATTGGAGAGGGCCTGGGAGCTGTCAGGACTTGCACCAGCAGGTCTCAAAGGAAGGTGGCGGCCACAGTGTAGTCTTGAACCTGTTTCCTCATCTGTAAAAGGGAGGGCTGTGAGGACTACGGAGGAATGTGTGCAGGTCTGCCGCATGTAAGCCCCCAACACTTGCCTAATGCTGTTAATTTAACTTATTAGTAAGTCGTGCAACTAGTATTTGATTCTAGACCTACCTGGATCCATGGCTGGCTAACCATGGTGAAATAATAAGGTGTGGTCGCTCAGGAGCCTCCTGCTCTTCCTCCTCTGGTCCTTTGTCCTGGCTTCCTCTTTCCTTCCTAAACAGTGCTCCTGGGGTAGAGAGGCGAGGGGAAGGACCAGTCGCTGGAATCTTGACGTGATTCTTCCTCCTCCGCAGATCACTGAGGCCCAGAAGCTGGACCTGGCCATGGTCCTAGAGTCCAACACCACCTTCCTGAGGAAGTCCCTGCAGGCTTCCTTGAAACATCTGGGCCACTGACCATCCAGCAAGGGATCACCTCCTGGAGCTCTGACACCAGTTTCCTGAAGGAGATTTTGCCCTCAGCACCTCTCCCTGACTCCTTGCCTCAGACTGATCCCCACCGATCCAGATTGACCAACTGCCTCCCTGTTCCAGGCTGCAGAGGCCACCCAGTCAGGAGGGAGAGCTCTGGGGTGAAGGGAGGGGGCTGAATGAACTGTTTGCCAGGGCTGCTGGCCCTGGGCTTGCTCCTCATCACCTCTGAGGCTGCAGAAATGGAAACTTTCTGACAGGCCTAAGTAGTCAATGGCGATGCTCAGTGGGGTCAATGATAGACACACAGTGCTGGAGGGGACCTGGGCCACCTCTGTGCTCAGCACAGCTCTCTTAGGCTCAGGTATGTTATGACCCTCTGTCTTTGTTTTCTAATTTGAATAAATTATCAATAGCGTTTAATAAAAAGCAGGTGGTTTAATGATGTCTTATTAGAAGCAGTGCCTGCCTACCTTCCCAAGTAACTCTGGGTACAGTTGAGCCATCCCCCACTCCCTGCAACCTCCTGCTCAGTAACAGGAGGCATCCTCTTCCTTATGAGGGGAACAGTGTAGAGTGTTTTTTCTGAAATTCATTAATTTACATTCCCTGTGGGCCAGTAATATGTGACCCACCACCACCCACAGCCCCACAGTAGGTGAGGCATGTAGCAACCACTGGGCAGGGGTGTGGTGGAAATGAGGACTTAAAAGGTGGAGTATCTCAGGCCAGAGTTGGGAAAGGGTTTGGGCCCAATAACATTTGACAAGGGCCGGGCGGTCCTGGGGGTACTGCTGTGGGCAGAGAAGAGGACAGAACATACTTTAAAGGTAGGCAGTGCTGTGAGCCTGTTTTACATCTTTGTATTCCCAAGGCACCTAGCTAAGCCCTTTGTTTACAGAAAACACTTTGAACGTGTAAATGTTACTGAGTCAGCTGTCAAGTGAACATTCACTACAGTATCTTCCTAGCTGCTGGCATTGAAGGACCAAGAACAGAACTTTCTGGTCACTTCCCTGACCACAGCTTCCTAGGAAGCCCCAAACCACTATTCAAGCAAGATGATGAGAGAGGAAGGTCAGGGCTAGGGATAAAGCCTGTTTTGTTTTGTTGTAGATGGATATAATACCTTTATTTATTTTTATGTGGTGCTGAGGATAAAACCCAGTGCCTCGTGTGCTAGGCAAGCACTCTACCACTGAGCCACAACCCCAACCCTAAAGCCCTGTTTTGAGAATAACAGTTGAGGCAGAGGGCAGGAGGAAGTGGGCAGGTGTTTAGGGGACAAACATGCCAGAATTGCATGCTGGCAGTGGCCTTCACCAGTACTGTACCCAGTATGTGTGACTACTGAACCCCAGGCCCTGGACCTCTTTGGCTGCTCCCTGCATTGTAGTTACTAAGTTGAGAGGCAAGGTATGGAAGAAAGTAAGTTGACTGAAAAACCAGCTAATCAAGAAGATAGGACTCTCGCCCACAGCCCTGAGAGCTCTCACTTCTCTCTTGTGGGGAGGCTAGTTTAGGGACAGTTTATATAGGAAATGGGTGATCCTAGACTGGTGGGTACCTTCTCACAGGTGGAGGTTTGTGACCAAAGGATGCACGATCCTAATGTCACAGTCAGGAGATGCTTTTCAGTTTTGCAAATCTCAACAGCAGAGATAATTATTTCCTTGGGCTACTCTCATCATCACTATAGTTGACATACAGCAGGCCAGCGGGGCTAGCTACCTTGAGGCTTCCTCCCTGACCAACAGATTCAAAGGCTTAAATGAAAATATAGTTCACCTGATTGTCTTGGAAGACAAGGGTCAGGTAAGGTTTATCAGGGAGTCAGCAGAAGTGGTCTCTGAGCTGTTTCAGACTCAGCGCCTTCCCTAAGAGCCTGGCAGCAGCTGGCCAATGGGGACATTTCAGGTGGGTCCGCTGTATGGCGCGGGCGCCCCCCAGCGGCGACACGCAGCGGCGCTCCTTTGGGTTGAGTCTATCGACTGCGTTCTGGACGTAGTCCGCGGGAACGACATTTCTCGCGAGAGCAGGGCCGCTATTTCTGCGCGTGCGCAAATTGCCCTAACCTCTTTCTGTTACTGCGGCGCGAGGAACCATGAGGTGAGTACCATCAGAATGCCATCCGCGTTCATCCGCATTTCTTGGTGCCGGGCTGACTTCACCATGGGGCATCTTTACCGCGGGTCGGCTTGCGGGCCTGTTTTCCCGCCAGGTTCTGGGCTCCAGTCGCCCGATGCGGTGCCGGAGGATCCTGTCTTGGGTCGCACGCCCAGGGCGCTAGTGGGTGGCGGGCCGGCCCTGAGCGCGCTCGCTTCTCTCCCGCAGCAGCAAAGTCTCTCGCGACACCCTGTACGAGGCGGTGCGGGAAGTCCTGCACGGAAACCAGCGCAAGCGCCGCAAGTAAGTGCGGGCCTCCCCGGAAGCCCAGGTTCCGGGTGGTGTGGGAAGCGGGCCGCTGGTGACGTTGTCCCTTCCTCTAAGGTTTCTGGAAACGGTGGAGCTGCAGATCAGCTTGAAGAACTATGATCCCCAGAAGGACAAGCGCTTCTCGGGCACCGTCAGGTTGGCACCGTCCTGACCCCACCCGGCCCTCAGTGCCCCGCGCCCGTCTGCTCCCTTTGAGGCTCTCGCCGAGCCCGGGCGGCCCCGTGCGTACTGACGTGCCAGGGGAGTTCAGGCGCCCTGCCCCGGGCAGGCGGCTGGGCGGACCCCCACCCTGGGTCGTAAAACATGAGGGGAGGCGTGGGGAGGCCTTGGCCGAGCCCGCCGGCTAGTCTGAGAAGCCAGGCTGGCTGTTGGTGAATGTGGAGACTCTGGGTAAGCTCGCGTGTGCTCGGTCCCAGCCCCTCCACCTGCCCCTGGGGCCCAGGGCTGGGCATGACCTGTTCTGTCCCCCCAAATGCAGGCTTAAGTCCACTCCCCGCCCTAAGTTCTCTGTGTGCGTCCTGGGGGACCAGCAGCACTGTGACGAGGCCAAGGCTGTGGATATCCCCCACATGGACATCGAGGCATTGAAGAAGCTCAACAAGAATAAGAAGTTGGTCAAGAAGCTGGGTGAGCCAGCCGGCCTGGATTTATATTTTTTGTTCTAGGAGGGATATGATGGTGGTAGAATGGTTTTTCTGCCATTTGGGTTTTTTAATGACCACAGTCAGGATCACAAAAGTAAGGACTGCTGTACTTGGTTAGTTAGTTTTGGTGGACTTTCTTTTAATATTTGGAGGGTTAGGATTTTATAAAGGTGGCCATTTGGTTTTTAGGAGGTGAGATTTTACTGTAATGAAAACATACTCGGCCTGATTATGGAAGATAGTGTCATGTGAAGTTAAGTCAACTAGCCCAGGTGCTGTGATTTGGGATTTGTTTAAGCAATGGTATTAGATCTGTCTTACAGCTAAGAAACTGATGTCCTCAGTTGTCATCTGTCAGCTAGAAAGAGAGGAGGAAGAATTTGAACCCAGGCAATCTTGAGTAGAGAGTGCTTTGCATGCACTGTGCCATGGATTTGGGGTCATTCTGGTCTTCTGAAGCGAGGTTTCAGGACCAGTTCTGAGGATGGAGCTAGATACTGCATGGGCATGTGAAGGGTTGAAAAGACTTGGTCCCTGGGGCTGGGGGCAAGGGGCTGCTTGGATTGGAGTTCATTTCTGTGGTTGATTCAGGTGTTTTTCTGACCCTAACATCCATGTTTAGCAGTCTCTTTGTCTAGGACCTAAGCAGCCAATAGTTTTCCTCTTTTCCAGCCAAGAAGTATGATGCCTTTTTGGCCTCAGAGTCCTTGATAAAGCAGATTCCACGAATCCTGGGTCCAGGCCTAAATAAGGCTGGCAAATTCCCTTCCCTGCTGACACACAATGAAAACATGGTGGCCAAAGTTGATGAGGTGAAATCCACAATCAAGTTTCAGATGAAGAAGGTAATGCAGTCTGGTCTGTTGCCATGGGTGAGGGGTGTTGGCAGAATTTTAAATTTCAGGTTTTATCTAGCCTAAACAGAGCCCATCAGAACTCTGGTTCATATTTCCTTGAACACAGGATATTGACAGCAGGGGAACTGAGTAGAATGAAGCTTTCTTTTCTGAATAGCTCTAGTCAGAGCTATTCAGAAAGCTTCATTCTACTCACTGGAGTCTAGAATCCAAGTATTGCTCCTTGGGTCACTGTGGGAGGAGGGATAAGCTGTCGGCCACCCCTTACTAACCTTACTTGACCCTCTTCCCTCCATCCAGGTGCTATGTCTGGCTGTTGCTGTTGGTCATGTGAAGATGACAGATGATGAGCTTGTGTATAACATCCACCTGGCTGTCAATTTCCTGGTGTCATTGCTCAAGAAGAATTGGCAGAATGTCCGGGCTTTATACATCAAGAGCACCATGGGCAAGCCCCAGCGCCTGTATTAAGGCACATCCTAATAAATCCTAGTGCTACCATCTCTTAGTCTGCCTGTGATTAGAAATGGACTGTTTTCTGCGCTGATAGTTGCATGTGTTAGAATTATTGGTAGCTAGTTGTGTATGGTTTGTCACCTTGCTGATGGGCAGTTAGTTGGGTACCATACTATGGATTGCACTCTCCTTCCTGCCACCAAAGTCATGTAGTCTTGAGCCCTCATACCTAGAGTATGTGATAGTAGGGTTGCTGACAAGATTGAAGCTTTTTTTTTTTAAAATATGTATTTTAGTTGTAGACGGACAAATAACTTTATTTTGTTTATTTTTTATGTGGTGCTGAGGATTGAATCCAGGGCCCCCTTTATAGAGTCCTTAGTATCTTGTGGATCCTGTATTTTGAGTTCTAAATTGAAAGGTAAATGTCTGGGGAAATACAAATAACACAGAATTTTAGTTGCTGGATTCTGGTGATAACTTTGTAGAACAAGCAGTGGGTGGAGTCAGAATGTGGAAATTTCCAAGCTCAACCACTTCCCTAGCCTTAAGACCTTCCCTGTTACAGTACTTGACTCTAGCATCCAATGCTGATGCAGAAATGCTTATGCTGGTTTAACCTTTGTCTTGGATCTGCTTCATTTAACTTTGGTAAACAGAAAAATCAGTGCATCCTTATGCAGGGTGTGTGTGGTTTTGAGGAGACAGTGTCTCCCTAGGTTGCCCACACTGGCTTTAAACTCAGGCTCCTCCTGGGTAGCTGGGAGTAAAGGCCAGTGTACTTGACCTGAAAGGTTAATCCAAAGGATAATGCTATAGTTGAGACAAGCTTTGTCATTGAACTGAAAAATGAAGTTTTCACCCAAGATTTTGCTTTTTTGGAGGGGATACCAGGTATTGAACTCATGGCACTTAACCACTGAGCCATATCCTAGTGCTAATTTTGTTACTTTGAGACTGGGTCTCACTGAATTGCTTAGTGCCTCACTTTTGCAGAGGCTGGCTTTGGACTCAACAGTCCAGCCTCAGCCTCCAGAGCTGCTGGGATTACAGGCCTTGCATTTAAAAAAAAAAAAAAAATTTATGTGGTGCTGAGGATTGAACCCAGCATCTTGCACGTGCAAAGTGAGTGCTCTACAGCTGAGCCATACCCTCAGCCCCTGGCCCTGCATTTTTTGAGTAAGTTATAACTCCTGCTTTCTGGTAAGATAGCTAACTACAGTGTAAAGGGAATGAGCATGAAGCTTATTGCAAGGTACTGGGCAGAGCCTCCTTCCTCTTCTGGCTGTTAAGCTAGTAAAGGAATAGGAAAAGGTTAGGGCCCATTTCTTAAGAGCCTTGATCTTGCATCCAGGGATGACTTTTCACCCCTAGGCCAGGCATATGGGTCCTCCCTAAATGAATACCTGCCTCCCGGGAGGCCCTGGTGTCTAAATGAAGTTCCAGGGACACTCCCATCCAAGTGACAGGCAGTCTTTCTATTCAGTGGACCTGACTCAGTTTGGAAACCCCATCTATAAATTTGAGGTTGGACCAGATGAACTCACAGGCTAGAATTCTAGAGTAGGATTAGTAGGATTTGGAACACAACTGACCCACAAACAAATAACTTTAATTTTTTTTTTCTTGAGCAGGAACTAGGCCTTGAGGGCCTTGCCCCAGCCCAGAACCACATTTATAATATAACCCATCACAGCTGGATTTAAAAAATACACAAAAATATATATATATAATAAACATTATAAAACCTAGGTGGGATTTGGAGGTGGCCTGAGCAATATGCAAACTGTGAGGACCTTCAGGAAGCTCGGGCAAGGTGGGGTGGTGGTAAGGAAGGGGCACAGTACTTCATATGAAACTTATAAATACCCAGAGGTGAAGGTGGCTGGGGGACAGTCCACCAGCTCTCAGAGGCTTGGGTATGGGGAAGGGTTAACGGGACTGGGAAGCTGCTGCCCAGGGCAAGATCTGAGCAGGGGGCTTACCCTGTAGGGTACATGGAGGCTCTGGTGCCACTGGCTGGCTTGCAGACTGGAGTACCTAGGAGCCTCTCTGCCCTGTCCAAACAGGTACTTCCCTACAGTGGGGAATGCTGGCAGGAGGTACTATATCCTGACCCCCAACCCACCAGTCCTTGGCAGTTCCACTCACTCCCATACAGGCCCACCACTGACCAGCCCCCAGGAAGTAAACCTGGGCTCTAGCTCTACCCATCCCCCACTGGGAGCTGCAGAGTAAGGATTGCACAGGCCACACATAAGGAGCCTGGCTTCAGACCTGGCACACAGGAGATGCAAAGAAACATGGGCCCCTCTCAACCAGGCCCCCAACCTGATGCTCTTTCCCCCTCTGCAGGCTGCCTCCCTGGGTCTCCATTCTACCTTGCCCTCCATTCCCCTGGAGGCCAGGAGCCACACACTGGAGCCTGAGGGGGTCCTCCATCCCCACAGAACCAGCTGATGGTGGTCAGTGCCCTGGGCAAGCTGCCCCACTACTGAGCCCTCCTCTCTTCTCCCACAATTAAAGCGCAGAACAGTGGCAGGGAGTGTGTGTGCCAGGGATGGGCGGGGAGGCCTCTTGGGTCCAGGGCCTGAGGCCTGGCAGGTGGAAGAGTTCTCAACCTGGACTCCTGGGGGTGCCAGGCAGGTGTGTGGAAAAGATGCTCATCTTGCAACCTTGAGGAGGCGCAGAGAACACCCTAGTCTTTGACAAGCTTGTAGACGTGGTGCTGGGCCCCATGCTCACTGGTGGAGACTTCGAAGACAAAAGCAATGACGAGCAGGGTCTCCTGGGAGTCTCGGCTTGTGACCACCTGGGGGGCAGGTAGGGCGGTTCACGGGGGGGGGGCAGCCAGGGGCAGGGAGCTGGATGAGCCCTTCTGCGTTGGTCTCAAGTCTCATCTCAGCCACCATTCTGCTACCCCACTTAGCTCCCTGGCCTGCGGCCCTCCTGGGACACCCGGTGAGCCCTGCTGCCCACACACCTGCAAGATGGTGAAGTTCTCCAGGACGCTGTTCATCATGTACTTCTCGGGCAGGTGCTTCAGCTTGTGGATGAAGTTGATCATGTACTCACACATGGGCGAGCGGTGGATGCGGTACACAAAGCGGCCATTCTCCAGCCGGGCATACTCCGTCTGGGAGGGCCAGAAGACATCACCAAGCCTGCCCACACCGGACCACCCACCCTGTCCCATGGCCCCACTCACCTCCACCTTCTCCACCACCTGCTTGCCAAAGGAGCACACCTTAGTGGACACGCTGATGGTCATGCTGTCGGCAGAACTGTACTGGGAGCTGACCCCATAGAAGGCTCCTGGGCCCTCCTGGATAGTACTGTTGAGGTCAGCCTGGGGATAGGGCAGGGGGTGGGGGTGGATGTCTCAGTTCCTGGCAGAGGCCAGTGGGAGGTGTCACACCCCAGGACCTGTCTCTGGCACTCAGCCCACAGGCCACAGGAGAAGAGCTGGATTAGGGTCAGTTTAGGAAGCTGGATATGCTGCCCATCTGGGGTGGGGAAGGGTGCTGGGAGCAGGGAGGGACCAGGGTGGCTCACCCAGAACTTGACAAGGAAGAAGGCGTTAGGGGGCCCCTTCTCATAAAGCTCCTTCAGTCCACCCTTTTTCTCAGGGAACTTGTCATAGATCTGCCGCACGTCTACTGCCTCCAGGGGCGGGTCTGAGAAGGCGGGGTTCGTCTGGCCAATGTGCACAAACAGGTGTTTGCTGTACTGTGGGGAGGGCCCAGACAGGGTCAGGGGCACTGGGCACACAGGCCTGGACAGGGGGCTGCACAGGGACTCATGATCCTGACACAGGGTCCTGAACCGCGCAGCATCACCCCCGCCCCCCACACATTACCGTGTCGGGGTCTCGCTGCACCTCCATAAAGGCCGAATATTCAAGCAGCCGCAGCCGGGAGGAGGCGATGGTGCGGTCCTGCCACACGGGCACAGAGGCAGCAGCTGGGGGCAGCGGGGCCAGGGGCTCGTAACCTGTGAGGTGAGATGGAGCCTCCTCTGCACGGGCACAGGTGTGTTATCACACACAGAACTGCCATGGCCTGCACCAGGCTCTGCGCAAATAGGCACCCAGTGCCATGGTGCCCCTCAGAGTAGGAACAGGCTGGATTCTGACTTCCTGCGAGGCGTCCTGTACACTGTACACCCACAGAAGGTAGCCCTTACAGCACACGACACACACGCTTCTTTGTGTCACTATTAAAATGTGTCTAAACAGAAAATGCCAAAAAGTAAAAAGAGAAAATAACAACTACCCAGAACCCCAACACCTAGAGAGACAATTTGGGAGGATGTTTACGGGAGCTTTCCAGACACAGCGACACATGTGAATGAGCTGTGTCTTGGCCACATATCGTTTTCTGCAATAGTTCCGGAAGCAACAGCAAGATTGTAAGTCCCAATCTCCTGTAGGTGTGGTACACCAGAGTTCCACACACACGCACATGAGCGCACACACACACACACACACTGGCACACATCTGCATGCTGCAGGGGCACTGCCAAGGGAGGGGTGGTGGTGGGCAGCCTTGCCGGGGCACTTACTGCTGAGCGTGGGTGGCAGGGGTGGCTGGATGGGGTAGGCTGGCTGCGCGAAGGGCTTGATGCTGCGGGCAGGACGGTATGGTTAGAGGCTTTCCTTGGCACCTCTCACCTGCCCCAGTGCCTCATCTGGGACCCCAATAGGAAGTCACCCAGCCTTTCTGCTGAAGCCCAGGAATGTCTGCTGACAAGTTAACTCGCAACCTTTCTGTTTCTTTCACATTTTAACTTTCATGAAATCCTCTGCGCTCACCATTGGTGTTGAAGGTCGCCTTTCAGCCCCACCCCCACCCTGGAAAGCTGTTTATTAAACTGCGGGTGTGACTTACAATACGTGTTGTAAGAAGGCCAGTAGCTTGACCACCTGCCTGACTCAGGTGAACCCAGTGAAAAATAAACCAAGGGCCAACATAAGCGGATGGCGGGGCTACAGGTGACGAGCCCAGGAGCACAGAGCTGGGAGCCCCGCTGCAGCCTCCGGCCCCATAGTTTTGCATTCCAGCTCTGCACAGCTGGGCTGGGGCCCAGATGGGGGAGCCCATGGCTGGCAGGAGGGGACCTGCAGTACTCACTCCTGAGAGGGTCCAGGCTGCTGTCCCAGGAGAGGGGGGCTGCTCCAGAACTGCAGATGGGACAAAGCCAGGGCCTTCAGGATCCATGAATCCCAGAAGGCCCAGACCCCCCAGCCCCATCTCCCAGGATCCAGTACCCTTGAGGACGTGGAGAAGACGGCCTGCGGCAGAGGGGAGGGCGGGCTGAACTTGTTCTGCAGGACACTGGCGGAGACGATCTGGGCAGAGGACATGGATGCCATGCTCTGGAGGGCTTTGTCCTTGGAGACCTGGTCCTGGGGATGGGAGGGTGGAAGTGAGACCTGTGCCAGGCCCCCCGGCCCAGAGGGCTTTGGGAGGCCAGGTGTGGACTCCAGTCCCAGCTCTGCCATGAGGTCTCTTGAGTGTCTTCCCTGAGCCCAATCGCCTAGGTGTACGTCAACTCCCTGACCACAACCCATAGTGAGGAACAGCACTGCTTTATGCCACAGCCCACTGTGGCCGTCCATCAGGATCCATGGGGAACAGGATCCAAATGCTCAGGAGTCCCTTATGTAAACTGGTTCTGCATTTTAAAGAACCTACACATTCTTCTGTGTCCTTTCAATCATCTCCAGATTATTTCTAATATCTAGCGCAATACAAATTATATGCAAATTGTCCTCCCCCAAGAGGCCCGGAGCATGGGTGTGAGTAACAGTTTACTTTCAGAGAGGTCTTGCCAAGATGCTGAGGCTGGCCTTGAACATCTTCCTGCCTCAGCCTCTGGAGTTGCTGGGATTACATGTGCCCTTGCACCCGGCATAAAACATTTTTATACTAGAATTTTTAGGGAATAATGTCAAGGAAAAGAGGTCTGTATGTGTTCAGTACAGACAATCTTTTTCAAATATTTTAAAATCTGGGGCTGGTTGAATCCACAGGTTCAGAACCCATGGAAACAGAAGCCTAGCCGTATCTACCAAAATATTTCCCCTTGATGGACACTGCACACACACGTAATTTCTATTTCTTCAGGGTGTCTTCAAGTATGATACGTGGACCAACAGCACCAGCATCACCAGGGAGCAGGTGAGAAAATTAACCTTTCAGGCCTCAGCATGGACCTAAGGAATCAGGAACCCTGAGGGAAGCCCCAGAGGTCTGTTTGAACGAGCCCCTCCGGGGGACCTGCCTCCCACCGAAGCCTGTGAACAACTGCATTTCATTTTTACAAATGCTGCTTGCAAACGTGTTAAACTGATTTCATAATCCATAATTTGTTTTTGTTTGTTTGTCTGCGGTGCTGAGGACTGAATCCTGGGCCTGGCGCATGCTAGGCAAGCCTCTACCACCAAGCCACACCCCGAGTCCCCTGGACTCTGTAATTTGAAAACTCCACAGATGGCGCTCTAGACCCTCCCCCGGGAGGCGGTGCAACTTACCAGGTTCATGGCCTGTGAAGGAGAGGAGGACAGATTAGAAGAGACATGGTGACAGCTCCATGGGGCAAGGGGACATGTCTTTTCACCTACCCCCACCCAGTGCCCACCTGGCTATCAGCTCCCGGGGAGCCCAGGGAAGCTTAGAGGCAGCCGTGGGCACTGCCCACCCCCCGAAGGGAGTGCCTGCCAGCTGGGGGTGCCCTGGAAGGGGTAGGATGAAGGGGGGACAAGCTGGCACACCCTGCATCTGTCCCCTGGAACTGTGTCTAGGATGGGGAGCTAGGGGCAGGGAAAAGAGCATCCGGGCAACCTGAGAGCCTGACGTGGTCCAGCTCCTCAACCCCAGACCCAGGTCCTCAGGCACAGAGCAGCCAGGACCATGAGGAAATGGCGTGCCCACCTCCTCAGCCCTGCCAGCCAGCATCCACCTGCCCACCTGGAGTCCCCATGCGATTAGCAAGCAGCAATCAGAATGAAGGAGAAAAGGAATCAGAGGAGAGATGGCTCTTAGTGGCCCCAAGTCGGTCTCCCTCTCTCTCGCTGTAGGGCTGCCACCCCCCACTCTCGGGCTCCTGCTCAGTCTCCAGGGGCTGTGGCCCTGAGAAGCCTGTCACGGCCTTCGGGCTCCTGGCTCACACCTGTGCTTCTGAGACCCCCACTCAGCGCTCAGCCCTCAGCCCTCTCCTGGGCAGAGCCAGGCCGAGTGACAGGGAGCCCCATACCTTCAACTTGGACTGAATCTCCCGAGATTTCCGCCTGGCTAGAACCTGCAAGTGGCTAGAGACCTGTAGAGAGAGAGCAAGAAAGAAAGAAAAAAGAACGGAAAGAGAGCAAGAACACAGCTTAGCCAGAGAAGAGGCACGGCGGGGCTGGAGAGCCGTGAGGCAGAGGCCCAGGCTGTGCAGAGTGGCAGAGGCACCGTGAGGAGGGGCCCAGGGAGGCCTGAGGCCCCAGTCAGGCGCCCAACATACCTTGATGCCAACCTGGTACTCCCGCACCTTCTTCCGAGCTAGAACCTGTATGTGGCTGGACACCTAGGGGCCGCCCCGCGTCCCGCCGAGAGGAAAACACAGACAGTGAGGAGGCACAGCCGCGGGGTGGGCCATGGGCAGGGTGATCCCAGCCCTCATCTCTGGGGGACCAAATGTAAATGGGGGAACTGTGGGCAGTTGCCTCCTGGCACTGCCAATTCTGCTCTCATCTTGGTCTTGTATTGATTAAGAGCCCACCATGTCTTCCAGGACCACCATGTACAGTTATGTAGTTTGTTCACTGCACAAAAATACCTGGCCAGAGGGTACCAGTGAGAGTTGAAATCTAGCCCTGGTACAGGGCTGCACCTAGCTCAGAGGAAGGGTGTCTTTCCCCCTCTTTTTCTCACTGGTGTCCTTAGAGGAGAGACCTTTTTCTCACACGACAGAGGATAGTAATAGCCAGGATGCTCCAGCTAGTCATTAGGTCATACACTAAGGCCAAGATCTCCCTGCTACCGCTGCCCACCTCCTGTCCACCACGGCAGCTTGCTAGCCCATAAACCCAGCTTCTTTCCTAACACACGTGCCTTCCCTCTCCTTGGACTAACATGCTGGCCTGGGGTAAGTACACAGTAAGTGCTCTTAATTGCACCTCGGGCTCTGCCAGCAACCTCCTTCCTGCAGCCTCTATGGGCAACCCTGAGCTAATCCCACTCTTAGTGTGTATGTCCTGGGCTCGTGTGCCTGACGTCCTCAAGGAACAAACCGAGTCCCAGAGATCCACTGTCAGCCACTGCACTGGCTCTTGGCTTTCTCTGCAAGTTGCTTTTGTCCCCACAGAGACACAGTTTCTTTTCCTTTTTAATCACAGCCTGAAAGTTACTATGTATGTGGTGCTCAGTGGCTCTGCTACTGGGTTAGGACCTGGTAGGCCTCCTCCCAGGCAGCACTGCACACAGGAATCAGGCTCAGGGGCAGCGAGATTAAGGACCACTTTAGGCCACGAGATGCCATGTTCACTAAGCACACACGAATTCAGCACTTCACACACACACAAATTCATTTGATCTTTGTAGCAGCACTAATCCGACTTCTGACAGATGATGAAATCTAAGCACAGAGGGGTTAAGCAATTATTCCTAGGACACCCAGCTGTGTGCAAGAGCTGCGACTTGAACCCAGGCTGCCGGATGCCCCAGCCCACTTGCTTCCCTACCAAGCTATTCTACCAGGACTCCTCAGACCCATAGGCACAGGGCACCACCTCCGAATGGCCAGCTCTGTGACAGCTGAAAGTCACATGGGACTCAATCCCAACTTAATATTCAGCTGTTCGGTCAACGTGGAGGCATGGCACTTGCTATTAACTGCTGCATGCAATTAATCTGAAAAAAACTAAAACTGCATTTCTTTATCCCAAACTCCCGTCAGCTAGTTGGTCATTGTCACACACACAGACAAGCCCCATCCACACAACCACAGGATGGGTCCCCTTTTTGAAGGGGACGTTAGACGTAAAACCCAGAGTCCTAACCGAGAATAAAGCTGGAGGGAGTCCCACTGGTGGAGAAGGATGAGGACGGTGGTTTGTAAACACCAGGCTGGCCATGAAGCAGGGCTCAGAGCGCCCCCTTCCTGGCCCAGGACAGCTCTGTTTATAGTAAGGACAGTGACCGTAACAGCAGTGACAGTGGCAAACGCTTACAGGGCACGGTTTCCAGCCCTCACACCTTGGCTCCCTTAACGGCTGAAGAACTGAGGCTGGGGGACTCCCCCCTGCCCCTGGCAGCAGAGCTGGGTTTTGGACCTGGGGTCTGAGCCCCGAGTCCCTGTTCTTAACCAACAGGCTCGACTCCTTCATGGGCCCAGGGACGGGGTGGGCAGCTGCCTGCCGCCCCCTGGAGCCTGCGCAGCGTGGAACCTCAGAGTGAGCTCAGTGAATTCACGCTGCACCTTCGAGGTGGGGCAGGGAGGTGTTTAGTCAATGTTTAGTCAATGGTCCAAATCTCCCCCAGACAGGGAAGGTGGGAGGCTGAAGGTGGGAACGGCCTCCCTCCCTTCCTCCAGGTTCCTGCCTCCAGCCCAGCCTCACTCCCAGGCACCCCAAACGCAACTCAGCAAAACCCACGGCCCTCCGGGTTTCCTGCCACCACCCACTGCTTTCTCTGGACCAGAAGCCATCACTGTTTCTCTCTCCACTCCCACCACCACCGTCACCGTCACCGTCACCCTTGTCCAAGGCCTTCTCCACCTCCCGGTCAGTCTCCCTGCCTCCACCGGGCCCTCCCTGATCCACTGCCCTGGCTGACCCAGGGCCTCCTTCCTCCACAGCTGCCACCTTCCACTCTCTCTAAACCGGCCTTGAATCCTGCCACCCTGGGGGACACTGTCACCCACACTTCTAGCTGAACAACAGCCTCTCCCACTCCACACTACACTGCCCCTGGGTGGCTCGCCCTGTCCAGTGAGCTGAATCCTGGATCCACCCACTCCAGCCCAGGGACATGGAGGAGTTACTTAACCTCCCTGTGCCTCAGTTTCCTCATCTGAAAAATGGAGACAATCACTGTGCCCACCTCCTAAGTTGCTGAGAGGATTAAATAAATTGGTATAAAGTGAGTTTTGCAGGGATTTAGGATTTTTATGATTATACTCAGGTGTCACTTAAGGATGGGAAGAGTTCTGAGAAGTGTGTCATTAAGTTGTTTAGCCACTGTGCAAACATCAGAGGGTAATTACACAAGCCTGGAGGTACAGCCTGCCACACACCTAGGCTGCATGGTACAGACTGTGGTACACATGGCCTCCGGTGACTAACACATCATTACGTGGTGTGTGACTGTACTGCAATCTGCATAGCCAACTTGCTCAGCCTGAAAGGGTCCTCCTTTTCTTCTCTGACTGACTCTTAAAAATGCAGCTCAGGTGCCACCTCCTCCAGGAAGCCCTCCCTCGCCCTCCTCCTGGCCTGGTCTGGTTTAGATGCTCATCTGCCTGTCTATCAGTGCCCTGCACACCCCTGTCTCAGCCAGGCCATCCTGCTCTGTACTTGTCTGTCTCCCTGACGGTGACTGGGCCACTCAGGTGGTGGCTTTTCTGTAGGCCCTGAAGTACAGGCCATGGGTGGGTGGCAGGTAGTCAGGGAAGACGGTGGGGCCACCTCCCCAGGAGCTACGAGTGGGCCCGTGAGGACACCCGGGACAGGGGAGCATCAATGCAGCAGGGCAGGGCAGGCTGGGCAGGCCGCTCTGAAGAGGGGGCAGCTCGGAGCAGGCCCAGGGGGTGCAGTCTAGGGGAGTGACCGGTCTCGGTACCTGTTTCCTTGTCCGCGTCTTTCCTGTCCTCAATTTAATGTAGCGCGCGATCAGCTCATTCCGACCTAAATGAGGTAAGAGAGAAAATGAGGCGAGGGAAGAGGGCAGAGCGGAGACCCCACAGGGACCCTTCCTCACTGTCCCCAAGCTGCACAAGTGGGCAGGCGAGGGTGGCTGGGGAGTCCCAGGTGCTGGGACCTGGGGGTGGCTCATCAGGAGAGATGGGGATGGGGGCTTTAGAGTAGGTGTCCTGCAGATGCCTGGGGCAGGTGTGTTGTAGGACAGCCAGACAGGGGGCCCAGAGGGCCTGGCCTGGGTGGCACCCCTGTCACTCGCAGCCTGGAGCAGTGCTTCTCTCCTGGGTCACCAGCTTGGAAGCTGAGTGTTCATATCTGGGTGACCCAGCGGGTGGGCACCTCAGCACATGCCCATTCACAGCCTGAGAGATCTGGACTGAGGTCCAGCCTCACTGTGTCCTGGTCACGGGGCACCCTAGACAAGTCCCTTCCCTTCCTCTGTGAAGACTGGGGAAACAGGATAAAAGGAGTGGACGTATGGAACCTGTCTCCTACACGGACAACCTGTGAGAAAGGTGTCACTATGTGTGTCATGGTGTCCTTGTGCCTGCCGTCCCATATCTTAGGTTGCTGCTTCTCCTACCCCTAAGAGTGCCAAGCTGCCTGTGAGACTCGTGGGGGCCCTGCTCAGCCCCCAGGAACCCTGGGGAACTGGCCCTGTGAGGGGGCCCCTGGACACATGCTTGGGTGTGTGCCAGCATCCTCTACCCCAAAATCTAAGCCCACTGTCCCCCAACCCCTTGGCCTCCACAGAATGGCCACATTCTCCAAATTCCTCTCCCATGACAGAGCCATCCCCACGTGCTCCGCCCATCACCCAGCCCCTCTCCACCCCACTCCCTCCACCCTGTCTAAAAATACCCTGTGGGGCTGCCCCGGCCATCTGGGAGGTGGCAGTGGGGGCAGGAAGCCCCCACCCTCTAGAAGGCACCCTGGAACATCTGCCTACGCAGGAAGAGGGGGCTCGGGTGCTAAGGACAGGCGCGGCACCGGGGGTGGAACGGAAGGAGGCACAGGCCTGCCATTTCCCACATTGCCAGAGTCCTGCCATTGGGAGAGGGGCTGGGGGCCTGTCTCCACAGCCACAGGCTGTTGGAGGGCTGCGCAGCTGGCGGAGACCAGGGCGGAAGCGTCAGAGGGCAGGTTATTCCAGAGAAGGCAGCTCTGGGGGCTCCCTCGGGTGGTGCTGCGTAGGACCCGCGCTGCCTTCTGGAGCAGCCAGACGGCAGAAGGGGCCAGAAAACCCGGAGCGGGCAGGGAGAGGGGCGTCTGAAGAACTGAAAAGGCCCCGTCCTCCCGTCCTCCTCCCAGCACAGGCCCTGGTCACAGCGTGACCTTCCACCCGACCCTGGCAGGAGCTGTGCGGAGCTGTCTGGCGGGCCTCGCCCCCAGGCCTCCTTCCCACACCCTCCCAGGCAGGGACCCTCGCCCAGGCCTGGACACTGGACTGACCCAGTTTCCTGGGCCCACTGAGTCACCCCGAAACCTCCAGGCCGGCAGCGGAGGAGAGGCGGAGCAGGCGGGGTGAGGTGTGGGCTGCGGGCCGCCCGGCTGGTTTGAGGAGGCCCCAGACACCAGGCTGCACGCCCAGACTCGCCGGCCGCCTGCCCAGGCCCCAGGACTTCCCCGACTGGTTGGGTGAGGGGCAGAGAGCAGGGGGCGGGGCCGGGCGGCCGTCCGTGTCCCGTGCCTGCCGCACGCACCGTACATCTTGCCCTCGTCCGACAGGATGATCTTGCGCCGGCCGCAGGGCGGGTAGATGGCCAGGGCCTCCTGGAAGCTCTGCTCGATGTCCGGGCTCCACACGCCCTCGGCGTCGTTGTCCAGCCCCTTGTCCAGGCCCTCGGGCCCATCCTCCCGGGCCTCCCCGGGGCTGCTGCTGGCATTCCAGCTGTTGGACGCTATGGTGCTGGTTGCTCTGGGCTCTGGGCCTGAGCCCACTGGACGGCCTGAGCCTGGGGGGCAGAGGCGGAGGGTGAGTGCCAGGGTCCTTCTGCCCACAGCCATCTCCCATCCCCCAGTCATCTCTGGACCCTGCCCCCACCCCCAGTCCCACTCCAGGGCAGGGGCTCCCAGGTGTTCCAAGGTGGGATGGAGGTCACCAGAGGTCATGCTTCTTTAGAGCCGGTGGACAAGCTACTTTACCTCTCTGAGCCTTCACCCTGTAAAATGAGGAAAGGGCCTCCTTAGGGGGGTTGTAGGGGTAAAAATTTAAATGAGATCATGACGAAGTACCAACCACAATGCCTGTCAGAACACTCAAGAAATAGTCCTGGTAGTGACCAATAACAGCAACAGCGACAATGCCATACACACACATGCTCTTCCTGGGGGAAAAGCCCTTGCATATGCATTCAGTCAGAGCCACAGCAGGGAAGGGATAACAGGAGCAATGCCCATTACTGCGGTAAAGAAAACTGAGGCTCACAAGTCAAACGGCTGCCAAGGCACCAAGAGGAGCAGCTAGGAGGAGCAGGGACAGGGCAAGGGGTTTCTGCTGCTCTCAGAGGGACATTGTGGCTCTCGCCCAGCAGAGAAGATGCCCAACCAGGGACCCTACCTCTCATTCTTACCCAACCAATGCAACCTTGCTGAGGAACACTGGTGGGATAAAGAGGGTCCCAGACCTGGGAGAGGAATGGCTGCTCCTTCCCTAAATAGACAACTAAGGAGAACCTTGCCGAGGAACCCAGACGCAGGGCAGGAAATGCCCCAGGAATTGGAAGAAGACAGCGACGATGGCTGCTGGCTGGCACGGGAATGGCTGAGAAGGTGCCCCGCCAACAGCCAAGCCAGACCCCACCCGCTCCTCCATCCCACTTCCTGTTCCCTCACCTCCAGGGCCCAGTGCAGCCCATAAACCACCCACACGCCTCCCCTGTCCTGACCCACACAGCAGATGGGCCAGGGCTCTGTAAACTGAGTTCCGGGCAGTTGCCGGGCTGGGTTATTAATTCAGAGCACATCAGCCAGTCCCCGCAAAGCACAGCCTCTCCTCAAACCCTCAACCCAGAACCTGCATGACCGATGCATATCAGAGTCCAGGGGCCACAGGGCCTGTGGGGCTGTGACCCTAGAGCTTTGCTCTGGGCAGCAGAAAACACAATGGGCAGGGTATCCTCAGAGTGGGGAGCCCATCAGGAACCAGGGAGGGGAATATGACAGGTGCTGAATGGCAGCAGGGGTGGGTGTGGGTGGGGGTATGGGGGCTTTCTCCCTGTGGAGCAACCTGTTTGCTCTGAGAAGCCTAAGGGGGTCACTAGTGGAATGGGGTTATCTGAGTATCAGGCAGACATTGAATTTAGACTTAATTTTACTACTAATAACAGCACCTGCCATGTGCCAGGCATGGCTCTGGAATTTTACACACGTTGACTCATTTAATCCTCATCATAATCCTACTGAAAAGACATCATTATTCCTACTTTACAGATAAGAAAGCCAAGGACAGAGAGGTTCAACAACTGGCTCAAGGAAACACAGCAAGTAAGTGCTAGAGCTGGTTCTGAGCCCAGGGTATTTGGCTGGAGTCTTTTAACCAAGCACGCCCAGCTCTCACAGCAGCTGCCTTGAGTCTGCTCAGTGGGTCCAGGCCAGGGGATCCCCTCAGTCCAAGCAGCTGGAGCAACTTCAAGACACCCCCGGCTCCGCCGCCACACACTGCTGTGTATGCCTTCGTGTGAGGCCTGCAAGACCACTAGGAAATTGTTTGCAGGGCCAGTGGGTAGCCAGAGTCAGAAGGGCCAGATTCCCCCATCCCCAGCCTGTCCCTCACGCCAGGAATCAGTATGCAGACCCCCCAGCCTCAAGATCAATGCTTAGATAGGAATGAGGGGACAAAGGGGTGCTGTCTGGTGGGGGAGGGATGCTGAGGGGCCAGGGACTCTCATGTTGAAGCTGTTGGGAAGCTGGGCCTCTCCCCAAATTGGCTCTTAGAGGGAGGGAAAGAGGGGTTCCTTGGCTTCCACCCTCCTGGGGAAGTCCTCAACCCCTTCCCCAGGCCTCCCTCAGAGCAGCATGGGACCCAGTGCATGGGGGCCCTGGCAGCCCCAGACTTCTGCAGCAGCTTGCGGCCTCCCTTGTCCAGGAGGTGCCCCCCCTCCCCTCCCGGGTGATGTCAGCCCCGCCCCGCCCCCTCGGGAGCACTGTGGCCAAATATGGCGAACAGAGCAGCGACCGCCTGCCTGGAGCTGGGACAGACTGGGGGCAGGGCAGTGGCCCCTGGTGGCAGGACTAAGGCAGCTGGGGAGGGGGAGGGGCACAGTGGGGGCCCAAAGGACGAGTCAAGGAGAGAATGGGGACCCCGGTCCCTCATGCTGGCTCTTAGGCACCCGCAGGACTGACCTTCCAGGAAAGCCCCTGGGGGCAGAGGTGCCCACACAGGGGCCTGCAGGTGGCACCCCCAAAACAGACCTCTGCCCAGCAGCACCAGTGAGCAGATCTGCTGCTGTGTTCCTACCCCAGGAGGAGGTGCGCAAGTGGACAATCACAGCGGGCAGCTGCTGGGGGCTGGTGAGGTCTCCAGCGACTTCATCATGCAGGAAGGGTCAGCGTGAGGAGCCACCTGGCTGCTGTCTCCCAGAATTACTACCCTGTGTTTGCGGCAAGGACAGCGACTCACAGGTGCCCACCCCCTGGCCCCTGCCCCACTGGGACTGGCCTGGTGACAGAAGTGGCTACAGGCTCCTGTGTGAAATCCAGAGAGGGCTGACTAGGGCAGGAGGGCAGGCAGGGGTTGGGAGGGACGCAGCCCCCGGGGCAAACCACCTTGCTGGGCTGTGCCAGCAAGAGGGGCAGGAGACCCAGTGAAGGCTGGGAGTGGAGCCTGAGAGCAGAGGGGACAGGGTAGGACAGACAGACAAGAGTCCCAGAGAGAGAGCCAGAGGAGACGGGGTGCCAGAGCCACAGACAGATGGAAAAAGCTGGGGTGGGGGGAGAAGAGTAAAAAGAGTGGTCACACCACACAGAGACCAAGACCCAGGGAGGGGGCATGCAGCAGAGGGAGTAAAGGGGACAGGAGGGGAAAAGCCAATAAACCCAGATAAGACAGGCATGGGTGGGGCGGGGGTGCAGAGAAAGACAGGGACAAAGACAGAGATACCCAGAGGTCAGGGCAGACCAAAAGAGAAGGAGTGACGGGGAAGGCCACAGTGGAATCAGCCACATCCAGGCCATCCCGCCCGTCCCGTCCCAGGGCTCAGCCCTCCACCTCCAGCTCAGGCCGCAGCCCTCAGGTGGGCTACTCAGCCTCACCCTGCCTGACCAGCCCCACCTGCTTTGCCTTTCCCAGGCCCTCAGCCTTCCGGGGTCAGAAGGTGGCTCTGGGTGGTGGTGGCAAGCACAGGGGCTAGGAGGCTAGGTGAGCAGGCTTTGGGGCCCTGGAGCAGATAAGGGGCACCTTACTGCCCACTCCCCACCCTGAGGCCAGACCTGCTGGAAGAACTGGCTGGACAGCTCCAGGGATGCAGCCAGAGCTGAGCTGCTGCAGAGGCCCCAGCCCTGTCCCTGTCCCTAGCCCACCGGGCCCTATACAGCTCCTCCACCAGGGGGAGGGCGGGCCAGGCAGAAGCACAAGCTGTTTCAGAACTGTACCCTGGTGGGAAAGGCAGACTGGCAGGAGCACACCTACCCCGCCTCCCTGCCACCCTGCACCAGTCCACAGGGCAGCCTGTCTCCCCAGACCCCGGCCCTCCATTCAAGTGTGGGAGGATCGGTGAAGTGCGTGAGCCCCCTGTCCTCACCCTGGGCTTGGCTGAGCAGCAGGGTTGAGCATGGGAAGGCAAGGGGGGGGGGGGACCTGGAGAGCTTCCCCAGCCCTTGGCCTTTCCTCCTACCCCCACCTACCCGCCCCACAGTGGGCCAGCTGTTCTCCAGCTGCCAAGACTCCCACCCTAGAAGTGGCCACGCTCTGGTTAGGACCAGACTGTGCTGGGGGGAGGGGGTAAGGATGGTGTTTGCATCCCCCACCTCCAGCTCAAGGACCCTTGAAGGACCCTGCCAAGTGGCCACACCCTGCCAGGCTGCAGAGGGAGGACCCTCTTCCCTGGAGCAGGATCCGGGATTTTTACAGGAGGAAGCAATTTGCAGAGCCCACTAGGAGGAGATGGGGGCCTCCGCCCCTCTCCCCCAGATCATTAATGTGCTTCCAATTTGGGAATCAAGCCTCTACCCCTCCTCCTCCAACCACTTGGGGTGGGGGTTTTCTTGGGACCAGTGTGGGGTGGATAGTACCCCCAGGCTCCCTTCTCCAAAGCTCATCCATAGGTTGTCAGTGTAGGAGGCGGGCTGGAGAGAGTTTTCAAGTCTCCTGCAGAGAAGGGACCAGTTCTGGACCTTCTCCGGCTCTTTGAGACTGTCCTTCCCTCATCTGGTCCCATACCCAAGGAGGGAGTCCCAGGTATCAGTGGGGACCCCTTGGTTCTCAATTAACAGTGGGCTGCATCTTGGGCCCCTGGTGCCCTGGGTCACCCACTGAGCTTCCTCTGTGCTCTTCCTCTGTGCTCTTCCTCTCTCATACATGCTCTGTTTACTGCCATTGTCCTGCTCATTCCCTGTCACCTGCGCCTCTCCCCTTCCTTTTTAAAATTTGTATTCTGACAAAATATACATAAAACATAAGTTTTACCATTGAAACTATTTTTATGTGCACAATTGAGTGGCACCAAGGACATTTCTTCTTATGGTTTTGAACAGTATCTTTTTCATGGTCTTCCACATAGATGCCACATGCATTGGGGTCTCAGGTCCCCACAAGCATCACCCACAGGATCCCACGCCCTGTCTGGCACAGCCCTGAGGACATCACCCACACCAGCTCAGATACTGACCACCCACAGAGCCGGTCTCAGTCACACCCCACAGTTTCTTTCACACAGACATGCGCACTCGGAGTGGCAATCGCTGTTTCCCCTGTGCACGGTGTTCACACTCAGATCCTCGCCACAGTACACCTCAGATGTGACCACTGTGCCCTTGTCACATAGCATGGCCACAGTGGGTCCTATCCTTTTATTCATACCTAGTGTCCTATCCAGTCACACCTGAGGCCATCTCATGCTGTTTCACAACATACAACATCAGAACTGGTCACGCTGCAGCATCCTCTGT